CTTGCTCTCAACTTCTAGAGCCTACAAGGATTTACTCTTCAAAGGTTCAGTATCAGCAATCACAGCCGATACACTGAAATATATCGACAGTAAAGCTTTCAGTTCATACATCATGTAATCGGCGATTCTATTTGAACGAATGTCATTCGGATGCCCAAATGCATTCGGTTATGACTCACAGTTTTCGACTCCTACAAATGAAACTCACACCTCAACGTTGCACGCGTAAGATTGATTTTGTAAGCCACATGTCCGGTACAATCTATGGAATATCTCCTGTAGGCCTAAATACGATTCTAGTCACGGAGCATGACTATGAATATCTTGTAGCAAATGCGACTACAACAGTCAAACCCGGGCGGTCTATGGCTAATAGTGCCGAGTCTTAGAGAGACTGCTATCGATTTTACTGCCGCTTTCGTTGAGCCCCAAGTTTTCCTAGATGTATCACCATAAGCTCGGTAAAAGATGGCTATGGTTTTACGTCGCCATATATATATATATTGTGCCCGTATGGCTCCTTCACAGTCCATTTATCCTTTAATTATCGACTCAATAACGTCCATTAATTCGGGAAATGAGTCAAAGAAGTGTGAGCGACCCTTCAGCATGTGATAGCCTTTATCATCAATTCCCAACCCATCTCTAATCTGCTCCGCCTCCTTCAAAGGTATGAACGGATCTGTATCCGAATGAAACTGGTGTATGATCCCTACATTCCTCTTCATAGCCTCGAAATCATACAGATTCGTCTCTCCTTGGGGGTAGTACCCCGATGCACGTTCACCTGCATCCCCCAAATCACTGTAAGTAGCTGACACTAACACTATGGCTTTTAATTCGTGCGTCTCTGCGTATCTCAGTGCCGCCTGTGCCCCACTGCTATGTCCCACAAGAATCGTGTTGGTATCTGTGCCTAGCGACTCGATGAAAGGTAACCATAGCGACCGTCTGGCAACGTATGGATCAGGAAAGGTCTGGCATACGGATGTGATTCCACGCGATGTGAGCTCGTCATGGAACTGGCCGTACCAGTTTGCATTTCGGATATTATTGCACCCGTTTCCTGGGCAGATGATGACTTTGACCTTGTTCATGGTGATGACTGTAGACGGGTGTGGCTTTTATCGCGTTAGCAACAGTGTGTATATGTTAGCAACAGTGTGTATATATGTACTTTATATGAACGCAGCATGTATGTATTTATGTATTGTATTTATATATTTATACTGTATATCACAGTCAACAACTTGAGAACTCGGAGTCTCCGAGAAATGAGAGACCTCAGACCAACAATGGAACTCAGCCAAAAAAGTTTTTTTTATGTAAAAAAATGTATATAAACACTCAATTTCGGCTATATACATTTATTGTAAACATATGTTCGATACTTATGGTGGCTGTGTGCCAAGCGCTTCCTTCAGGCTAAGAGTATACAGACAACGGCTGGACCATGGAGGAGTACTCGAAGGACGAGGTCACACCTCCTGATGCGTTTGGTATTGTGGAAGCTGGCGTTTTCAGGTGAGTGTTCACTTGCATCTTAGCACCTGCAAGTACGTATGCAGCATGCCAAGTTAAGGCCAGTATGACTATATATAGACAATGACAGTTTGTCAGTATATAAACTACGCTAGATACTCAAGATCAAGAATCCCTATCTACTATGTGCATTGATAAAATCGCGCTAGTTCAGCCAATTCTGCGAAATTCGAACAATTGGATAGCGAATGAAGAGTTCATCTGATCTTGCTTATATAATCGTTGTTGTCTGTAAGCCTATCGTTTGAAAGTGAAAATAGAAACTCTTCAATATTATATATATATATATATATATATATATGTATATGTATATATATATATATATATATATATATGTGTGTGTGTGTGTGTGTGTGTGTGTGTGTTATATATATATA